CATTAAAAGGCTAGAATAGAGAATTTTCGCTTATGATGATAAATGTTAAGTCAAACCGACGAGCGCGAGAGAGAGAGAGAGAGAGAGAGAGAGAGAGAGAGAGAGAGAGAGAGAGAGAGAGAGAGAGAGAGAGAGAGAGAGAGAGAGAGAGAGAGAGAGAGAGAGAGAGAGAGATTTTAATTACCTCTTGTATTACGATGTTTCGCTCAGATTCTAGTCCAGGCTAATTTCCTTGTGCCAGTACATCCATGCGTTGATGAGCATTCGGTATTCAGAATCAATGTATCTGTAGGCCTTGAGTAGTGGTGCTCTACTTTCTCCATTAAAACCATCTTTCATGTATAAATCATCAGTGTAATTTATATTGATTTAATCAATGTGAATAAAAATAAAAAAAATAAAATCTCAAAAATGAAATGTGAAATGAATCAACTTATAAATATGAAAAGGTGATTGTGAATAGGCACAAAAAGACAGAACTACATTTTGTAGCGGGTTCACTTGGTAGGGATGTGAGATCATTCACCCAGTTAATACAAAGTTGCATCTCTTCAATCTAACTTCGTTCAAAAGGCAAATATATGTATTTGTATGTGTTATAAATAAAATATATGTATAAAATGTACTCTATATCACTGATATACGACTCGTTGTATAAATTTGTCATTAAAAGGAAATTTGGTAACCTATCGTAGTATATCACTAATACAACACACACACACACACACACACAGACACACACACACACAGACACACAGATCAAATGGAAAAGTAGTTGTAATGCGCAATCATTAACAATATTACTCCAAATTTCAATTATATGTAGACCAAACGCCATTTTTTTTCGAAACCAACTTCAACTTTGTCTGGGCGAAGTTACGTGCGCATTAAAATGTTGTGTTATGATGCAGCTACGCTTTTGTATTAGTTTTGGAATCCAGCATACATTCAGTTAATTTGTTACAGTGTTGTTTTGTTTATATATATTAAGCCTTGAGTAGAGTAAGAAAATGATAATATAATAAAAAGGTTACTGCATTAGTAATCTGTATAATATAATATAATATAATATAATATAATATAATATAATATAATATAATATAATATAATATAATATAATATGTGTGAAATCAAGAAATAATCGGGAACTAATGTGAAGTCAGTATGACAACATCAAGGTCGCGTGACGTTTTCAGCGGAATTGTCTCTCATTGCAATTTATCTTTGAAGTTCAAAACTAAAAATATAAACGTATTTCCTTTATAGTAATACATTTTTAAATAAAGAAAAACTTCACTATTTACCATTTTATAATTTTTTGTTTATAGTTTCATTAATAAATGACTATTCCACATAGTTTGACATGCGAGCTTGACCTTGGAACTAGTTTCACGTTGATTTTTCTAAGGTTGGATTTACTTTGTAACTACCAGCCATACAATTATGTACCATGGTGGTAGGATGATTTATAAAATACTTATAATTTTGTTGCAAGTACATTTCGTTTAACATATCTGCACATGTAGACAAGAATTTTTTATTTATTAAAAGGTGTCTTTGAAGATTACACTAATGGAAACACTTTTAATCCCACGACAATATTACCTCTTAGAATGCAGAATCATGCAATTTCGGACCCCTTTTCACTTTTCATATTCATGTTCGGATATATGAAAATCAGTTAGAATTGACGCATATAAAAATAAATAAGTAAAACAAAAAAAGTTTCTGCATGGCTGACCTCTCTTTTTCTTCCGCTACAGTAATTTGCCGAGGTTTCTTACTGAAGTGATGTCTTCTCAAAAGGTATTCAAAGAGTGACTGCTTAATAAAAAGGAAAATATTTGGAAAACTTGGATTGTCAGGTCACTTTGTACCAGGAGGTTTATTTGAACAATATTTTCGAATGTGACCCCTTGAAATATACTGAGTGGTCAGAGATCACACACATTTGTGATCGCCATTTGTTTTTAAAAAAAAATGAAATCGCTGCCATTTCGCGTTTGACAGAACGTTTGTGACTTAAATGTGATTAACAGCTTTTGGGTGAGTACACTTTTGCAACAGACCACGTGCTAACTTACCGACAAGTATAAAGTGGGTCACTGCACTGGTTCTACCCTGCGCGCAAAGAACCGCTTTAAGTTATATTTTGCTTTGTGTTTGTTGGTGGCATAAATGTTACCACATACTTCCAGACTGGAGATTGTTTGCCTTGCTTAATTTTATACATTTTTTTTTTTAAAGACTATGACACAGACCTGCGTCATTTTTATAATAAACTTTACTTATAAAATTACCTGTGTGTGTGGTTGTTTTTTTTTTTGTTGTTTGTTTTGTTTTTGCATGTTCACATGTAGCTGTTCGTCATGGAAACGTGTAAAGTCACGGCGTTAGTTATAACCGTACCTCTGTGTGTGTGTGTGTGGTTGTTTTTTGCTATGTTTTTGCATGTTCACATGTTTTTGCATGTTCACATGTTCGTCATGGAAACGTATAAAGTCACGGCGTACCTCTGTGTGTGTGTGTGTGGGGGGTTGTTACGTTTTTGCATGTTCACATGTCGCTGTTCGTCATGGTTAATTCCATTTTGTTGAATTTGTTCATCTTGTAAAATCCAGAAGTTGCAAGCATGTACTTTTTAGATTTACACTTTACTGGTCCGATTAAAGTTTTGATGAAACAACATTCCCGTGTCTCAAGATCCTAAAATCCACCTACTCTAAGGCAAGATACAGTGTGGTAGCTGTTTTATAACTTCATTGAAGCATGATTATGCAGGTATTTGACTTCAAATTACAAGGCTCATGAAGTTTAGTTTTTTACGTTAGACTTTTTACGTTAGAATATTCTTATAATCTTCAGAGCACAATCACACTGAGCATTCCAAAAGCTTTGCTACTTTTGAGAAATTTACTGGACGCTCAAATTAAAACGGACACTTGTATCTGCAAAACTAATCAGAAACAGTGTGGTAAGCGTGACATTTATCTTGGTGCAATTAAATATATAAATATTTCTTGCATTGTGACTAAATGGAATTTAGCTTAAGAGTAAAGACCCTTTCGGAAAGACAAAATAAAATATACGTATGAACTGCATTCTTTGCCATGTAGTTTATTAAGTGACACTGCGTGATGTTGAGGAGAACGTTTTGCAGGTATAGCACATTATGGGAAATGTTTCATTCGGTCAGGTGAAAATGAGGTTTTTAATTTTTTTAATATTTTTATTGGTGATTTTCTTCAACCAGTCTATATAGATTCCCATAATAGGTTGTAAAAGTTATTTAATTTGCGAAATTAAATATGACAATATTTTGGAATTGTTCATTAATGATCATTTTGTTTTATGGAGAACGATCGATATCGTTAATATTTTTTCCTCACCATCCTGGCGATCGGTGAGAAATGGCCAAGTGGTAATCCGACCAAGAGAACATCGAAAACATTCAATCACTGTGTTTCGAATAGATGCTTTACAATCTTATTTAAATGACCTGACCGCTCGATCTTGTGTCACGTGTTGGTTTATATGTTTATTTGTGTTTTTATATTTACCAGGAATTTAATACTGGCCGCCATGTATAGCATATCGTGTGCTGAAAAATGGCGTTAAGCCCCAAAACAACAACAAGAACAACATAATTAACAGCACATCCAGGACAGTTTTGACTGAGACCAAAAAAAAAAAAAATAATTACCCATCTAAAAAGTTTGTAAAGTGTAAAAACACATTTACATAAAACTTCCAAAATAGGTTTAGATGGAAGAACTGAATCACTACCCAACATTCCAGAATTTGTTAACAGTTGTTTTTTTTTTGTTTTTTTGCGTATCCATGTTAGATTGCCAGCACTTTGCATATTGTAACCAAAATTCTGCTGAACGGGCAACTTTCAGTGGAAGCAAAATGAGTCGCTATAACATATTTTTGAGGTTTTGCTTAAAAATTCCTAAAAAAAAAAATAAGAGCTGCGTTTGTCTGCTCAATCAATAGAGCTTACGTTTACTCTTGTGCATCTTGGGATCGGATGGATATGTGTTGTTTACCAACAATGGGTAACCGTGACCTACTGTTTAGTACAAGAAAGGTGTGACAACTATTTATTTACGCAAATTTCAATATCTCTTCGCCTATTGCAATAAAAGTACACTTTTGATTCAAATTCGCTCCAGCATTTCACAGATTCAGAATTCTGAACACTATATAAATATGATGTCTTTGCTCAAATCAAAACATCTTTCAGCTTAGACGTTGCACTATGAATGCGTACTTGAATAAGAAAATTTCACCTTAAAATTGGGTCACTGTGATCTTTTCCAAGATTTATAACACTACATGACAATTTTGTGTGTGTGTGTGTGTGTGTGTGTATTTACATTATTATACCTTTCAAATCTATTATTACGAAACATGCATATCATGTACATATGAGAAATACGTTATGTCATATCAAAACTGGGTTGTTGAGGGCTACATTCTATGATAATTGGCCACTCTCGAAGATACCGACTGATTTCACTTCACTGGAGGTTATTTTATGGGCTCATGGTCACTAACAAATAATTTTGGCTTGTTCATTTCTACGTTTTACGAGTAAAACGTAAAGATAACCCAATTTTCCTCAATGTATTGTTACTACATTTAGTTTGTGAAATGATGGAAACAAGTTTGAAGAACAAATAATGGTACAGCTGAGTTTAAGCTGTTTATTATCCTTTGCATACACAGTTCAGATCAGAAGTCACAGCTAATGAGTTTAAGCCCAGTAGTGTCCCTTTGTTAACGCAGTTCCCTTCATGCTTCACCTCAAATTAGTTTAAACTCTGTTTAACCCTTGGCTAACGCTGTTATTTCAAGATTTGATAACTATTTGGTTGAAACCCTTGAATCCTTTGCTGATACAATTACTTTCAGATTTGATGAGTTTTGAAGCCATAGTGTTTTGCAAACACAACAACTTTCAGATTTCACACCTAATGAGTTTAAACTTTACCGCTCTGGTGGCCTAGTGTTTAGAGCGTCCGCCTCGGATACTGGAGGTTGTTGGTTCGAACCCCTGCCAGATCATACCAAAGGCTTGTAAAAGTGGTACTTACAGCTGCCTCGCTAGGCCCCCATCATTAATAGGTTAGTGTTAGGTCTGGTCGGCCTGGTGTCAGGATAATGTGATTGGGTGGGACATAATTCTACATGTCTACAGCATGATGCCTAAGTGCTAGACATCTCTATAAACTGCCACACTGCAGACATCATCGCGATATGACTGATTTTTTTTTTTAAAAAGCTACGTTAAAAATCCAAAATCACGCACAGTTGAATCTGTATATTGTCCTTTGCGTACACGATTCACTTAAGGTTTTACAACTACCGAGTTTAACCGTCAAGTAGTCATGGCGAACAGAATTCCAGACAGCTTTTAATATATTTAGTATTTTGACCAGCACAAATAATTATGACAAGTTTTTCGTATTTCTAAAACCAGTGTAAATGCGATTGTACTTCACAGTTAGATCTTTGTGTCAATTTATATGTCGGTTTTTACACATCCTCTACATTTTTGGTAAGGCATTGAATTTCTGTAACAAAAGAAGTTTCCAAATTTTTCTAAAGAGATTTAATTTTATTTGTCTCACAACTTTAAAGAGAGAGAGAGAGAGAGAGAGAGAGAGAGAGAGAGAGAGAGAGAGAGAGAGAGAGAGAGAGAGAGAGAGAGAGAGAGAGAGAGGGAAACATTTACTTGTTAATAACTGTTATTCCCAACCCACACTCCTCAGTATATCAATGTATTGCTTACTCTATTGTTCATAAACTTCGTTGAAAAACTGTTTTATTTCTAGAAAAATAAATATGTATTAACACTATTTCATTCCTTTGGTGACAGTGGTAGAATATTCTTTTATTATTAGAAAAATTGCAAAACTATCAACATATAAACGGTCTCTAGTCCTCCCTGCACCTTATATTTCCATTGGCTTCGTCTTGTGATTACATTACGGCAGGCAGGTTCTATTTTTAGATGAGGAAACATCCACGTACATGAAAGCTTGACTATTTCTTAAACGCGACTTTTGGAATTTTAATATACAAGAGTTTTTGACATTTTTAATGAAACAAAAACAAAGGCAGAGGAAAAATTTATGAATTCTTTTACAGAGTTGTGCCCCTTTATATGGCCTCTTGCTATGCGGAGGTACTTTAGATCAAGATGTTTGTTTATATAGTCTTAAATTTGAAATGAAATTAAATATACATATATTTTAAAACAGATTCTCATATGAAATTGAATCTACATGTATCTGAAATGAAAAAAGATACGTATCTAAAATGAAATTAAATATATATCTGAAATGAATTTGAAAAATATACCTGAAATTAAATATACATATCTAATAGGAATCTTTTAAAAATCTGAAATATGCGAAAATGCATTAAGACAACTATGAGTATTAAAAGTCAAAACCTAGAGAAAAGTTTAAAAAATTGAAATATTATTTTATTATAATTGTATTATTTATATTAATGTCCATTAGTGTCTCAGATTTTCGTCGAGGCCAGTATAAATTTAGAAGTTTAAAGCGAGAGTCATTTGTCATATATTAGTCTAGTACATGCAAAGTACTCGTGATGACCTGGATTTTTCTCACAAAACTGAGAAGTATCTCCATGATTTTAGTCATTTCAGAGATGGCCTATTCATTTAGATGTGGCAATACTGTGATTATGCCACAAGTGAGAACAACGCGTTATTGGTTGAGTTCATTTAGATATGGCATTACTGTATTATGTCCGTAATTGAGAACTACAAGTTAGTGGTTGCTTTGATTTAGATACGACAATACAGTGGTTATTACACAAATGAGAACAAGTTACTTGAATTCATTATATAAGGCCTTAAGGTTATTGTTGCACAAGTGTGAACATGTTATTGGTCTGATTCATTTAGATATGGCAATGCGGTGATTATTACACAAGCGAGAAATATAAAATATTGGTTGAATTCATTTAGATATCAAGTAGATAGTCTTTGGAGTTCATTTAGCAAATTACGTTTGGGTTGATATGCATTTAGATGAACTGCATGGCTGTCTTCGAAAATGGAGTGAAGCTGCAACAAACTTCTTCTGCAGTGTATATTATTAGATATTAACTGCCTGCATGTCTGTAGTCTAATGTAACACTTGTGTCTGCATCTAACCCTGCCTGCATGCATTTAATCTAATGTAACACTTCTGTCTCCTCTAACCCTGCTTACTTGCCTGTAGTCTAATGTAATACTTCTGTCTGCATCTGACCCTGCTTTCTTGCCTGTAGTTTAATGTAATACTTCTGTCTGCATCTAACCTTGCTTGCTTGCCTATAGTATAATATAACACTTCTCTGTCTAATCTAATCCTACTTGCTTACATGTAGTCTAATGTAATACTTATGTCGGCAGCTAAAACTGCATGCATACCTTTAATCTAATGTAACACTTCTGTCTCATATAACCCTGCTTACTTGCCTGTAGTCTAATGTAATACTTACGTCTGCATCTGACCCTGCTTGGTTGCCTGTAGTCTAATATAACACTTCAGTCTGCATCTAATACTGCTTGCTTGCATGTAGTATAATATAACACTTCCCTTTCGGCAACTAAATGCCAGCATTTATCCTTATTTAAATGTGTCTTGATTCTGTAGAATAATATGTAATCCCTATGTGGAAGTGTTCTTATTCCTAAAACTTATTTTTTACAGTCATGTTTGGATATTTCAACAGCACGAATCATTATCGTATTTCCTTACAAAATTAAGATTCTCTTCTTTTTGGAAAATTTTGGAAAATGTGTGAGGAATTATACTTAATTTTAAAAAAAACTGCTGAGTAAAATGTTTCATTTACAAAGAAACCCCGTGAACACCGGAATATTGGTTTATATCGTAATATATCAACCTTTTTAAGGTATAGTTTTATAATAGTAAGAGTGTTAGTGCCTTTGTTTTTATGCGCTCGTATAAACTTTAATTTGTTTTTGACTACAGTGTACACTTCTGTTCGTTTAGTACCTATAGGTAATCTTTTGAACTTTCTTTTACAGTGAAGTTTTATTTTAACTACTGGCGCAATGTGAATCCCTCTCAAATAAAGATTGTCTTGTTCAGGTGGATTTTATATGTTTCAGTTTTATGTTGTTTTAGTTTTAGAGTTGCGACAAAGGCTTTGAAGGGTACATTCTATGTGGTAACGTACCCGACTTCAAATCGTTTATCATTGTACATGTTATACACTAATTTCCCGTGCCTTTTGCCCAGGGGTAGAGACACTTATTTGACTGACATTCAAGGATACATTACTTAGTGTACATTAGCCAGGCTCTACATGCTGGAAATTAATATTTGTGATATCATAGATGGTAAAAGTCATGAATATAACGAGCCAACATAAAATATCATCGTTATATACGCTATGTTAGAGAAATATTCATAAATTTAAGTTTCCACCATATCTAATGTATTTGATATTTTATCATTTACTATTTTTGGTTTCATTTTTGCTAATTATAAAATTTGTCACGCATATGAATATCAACGTATCTTTGGTACAATATTATTACTTTTTTACAGTTCAGAAGGTCATACCCTTTTATGAACAAAAGCTGTGAAAGGGTTTTTAAAAATGACTGTTTTTTTTAACATTTTACCCACTTAATAATACTCGCTTCTGTAAATGTGTGTTATATATTGTTTCTCGAATGCGTCTTTTTTTTTTTTTTTTTTTTTTTTTTTTTTTCTGGCACAAAGTTCACAACGCAACTATTGGGCTCGCTCCATTATGCTAAGTGGCGTATACGCCCAAATTTCTATGAATTTTTATTTTTTCCAGTATTTGTTTGTAGTTTTCTTTTTCATTGTTTTGTCCAAAAAAAATCCTAGAGCTTTCACTCTGGTTTTTAATATTGGGGAGGTAAACCTTCCAGTTTCCTATTTTTAGTATTTCCATCTTATCATGATTTATTTTTTGACCCTGATGCTTTACCACATTTATCATATTCCTTTTCTAGGTGTTTAAAGGATTTTTTTTTATAAAGTTGCTGAAATCATCAGCATGTTCGAGCATTTTAATTCCATCTTATATATTTGGTAATTTTATCCCTTCTATTTGGTTGTTGTTTCTTATTTTTATACTCAGTATTTCTATTGCTATTACGTATAATAGCATTGATAGTGGGCAGTCTTGCCTCAGATATCAAAACTATCCGTTTCAGCCCCATTTACCTGTACTTTTGCAGTGATTTTATTGTACAGGATTTCAGTCCATTTTCGGAAATTTTCTCCAAAGCCATTTTTTTCTAAAACCTTCTGTATGTAGTTATGCTCAATAATATCGAAAGCTTTTATTTGGTCAATTAGCACCATGGCGCCCATTCTTCCAGTTTCTTTAATATAGTCAAGCATTGTTGTTATGCTTAGTATATTATTTTGTATGTCCCTACCTTTTGTCCCGCAAGTTTGGTTTGTATTGATCATTTTTCCATTGCTAATAATTTTGTAGTTATTATTTAGGAGGGAGATGGGCCTCCAATTTTTTTTTAATCCTCTCTATCACCTTTTCCTTTGTATATAAAGGAGATTAGACCCTCTCTCCTGGATTTTGTCATTGTGTAATTTTCAAGTATTGTTATATAACAATTCTAGGATCGGCGCTAATTCACATCGGAATTTTTGATAAAATTTCGCAGCGAGTCCATCTCTCCCTGGGGATTTCACTTTTGTTGTTTTATAGTGATCAGTATTTCATCACTAGTGATGAAATCATCACATAAGTCCTCAGGTACTGATGATATTCTCTCACTTTCAATTTCACTTAAATACTCATTTGTAAATTCCGGTTTAATCTTCTGGGTTGTGTATAATTCACTATAATATTCTTTATTTTTTTTAAAATTTCTCTTTTGCCTGAAAGTAGTTTTTGACAATTATCTTTTACGTATTTCATACTCTTTTCACCTCCTTTCCTTAGTTCTATTCTTTTTTAAAGACCTTTTGCCTTTCTGTATATTCCTTGAAATTTCCTTGCTCTTATTTCTT